GCAAGGAGCCGGAGCCTCCATGTTGGGGAAGCTGGCGGCGCAGCAGTGACCGAGCTCTGGGGACCCGGGGCCTCTAGGGCCGGAGCCTCCGATCCTTGGCGCCAGGTACGCCCGGGTCCCTCCATGGGGGAGCGCTGGGGCGGTGTCGCGTCCTCTGGGACTCCCGGGACCTCCCATGTTGCAAGTGAAAGTAGTTGGCTCCGGCTCCTGTCGGGGCGGCTCCCGGCTCGGCGGGGCCTTCACCTCCGCTCGGAGCCCGCCGGAGAGTTACGGTCTCTGCACCACCCCCGGCCGCGGCAGCAGGTGGGATGTGGGGCCCGGCCCTAACTGCGGCCTCCCGTCTCCCGCCTGTGCGAGGAGGCTGACACGAGCTCACGGGTTTAAACCCAAACGTGACAGGCCGTTGCTCTGCAGGCTCTGGGCGCGCTGCCCCGGACCCTTACCCGTCGGGCTATGTCTTTCCGCGGGGCAAGAGGGAAAACAAAGGGGACCAGCTGCGGCAGTAACTTAGCTCCCGAGTCCCTGGACAAGCGCCGGCTGCTCCCGAGCACTTCTCCTCGTTGACCTCACTCCCCGCGCCTCCAGCATCCGGGGAAAGCTTTGTTGTACAAAAACAAACCGCCACAACAAATCCCGATCCCGACTCTACATAACCGCGATAGGCACGGACCAAACTCTGTTGGCATGTGTACAGCAGTCCCATGTAGGGAGCTGAATGTTGCTCCCTTCGGGTCGGTCAAAATCTTACCTAGACCACTTTTGTAGTAAAACATTTGGATCCAAACTTTCTGTATTGGCATCCCCGCATCCGGGTGTTGTATTCAGGCCCCAAGAATTAGATTAAGGCTCGAACGTTGTAGTAAAGTTAAAGAGTGGTGCTTGGGACTTACTCCGTTTGTGGTTACTTTTATGCCCTTGTAAATCAGATGTAATTTGTCATTAGTGTGACACTGGGATAAAACTAGTAGTGAGAAGAAAATTTGGCCCTTAAATCCGTGAAACTTTCTGCGTTGAGTTGTGGAGGAAATGTGGTCATCAGTCATTCTATATTTTATTTCCCCCCTTGATATCCATGGAAAGAATGGATGTTGGCGGATCAGAGGAAGCTCGCATCTTAAATATGCATTTATAGTTCACATTCCCTAATACTAATAAAAGTAAAGATATTTTATGCTTACTTAAAATTGAGTAACTTTCACAGACTTCAAAATTTTCTGCAGTGTTTGTACTTTAAATGCTATTGAACTAAATATCGAATACAAGTGAAATACAGAAATTAAATAGTGAAAAGAAAAAGGTGATTCTTTCATGTTTACTAATCTGATGTGCTATGAGTATAAGGCAAGGAAGCTTCTTTTAAAATAAAGACAGACACTACTAAGACAGTACTAAGACAGTTCATTTTTTAATTGTTTTACTGCTTATTGGAATACAGTTTTTTGTACTTTACTTAGATTTTCATTAATATGTATATTACAATAGAGCCCAAAGGCAACAACCACTCTGGGGGAAGAGGCTGTTGTTTATTACATCTGTACAATGGCACCCAAAGAGTTTGCTGTCTAAAATGAAAGCATTTGGATGGAGAGCATGGAACATCTTAGATTTTTTTAAAAGCTTCATGCTAAATATAAGATTTCTAGTTGCAGCAATAATACTTAGCTGACACTTTAAATGGAATGCAGGACTGCAAAATTGTATGTCAGATGTTGCCCAGTATTTGCCTTACAATTAAGGCTTAAAAACACACCATGTTCTTTGAACCTTCTGAAAAGATTAGCCTTTTAGATCCATACCATTTTGGATTTTTACCATTTAAAAAAAATAAACTTTAGATACTTTCTTAGAAGTTCAGCTTTATATATGTAGTACTCAATAATGAATGAATTCTGTGAGTTTGAGAGAAGAGTGTGACTCTCAGGGTATGTCTAGACTATATGGCTCCGTCAATGGAGCCATGTAAACTAGTTTACCCAGCATAAGCAAAGAAGCAGGGATTTAAATAATCCCTGCTTCATTAAAATAAACATGGCCACCGCGCTGTGCCGACAGTCAGCTGATCCGGCACAGCACGGTAGTTTAGACGCGGATCGGTCGACTGGGGAAGCCTTTGCCGACCGATCCCTTATGCCTCATGAAACAAGGCTTACAGGACCGGTCGACAAAGGCTTCCCCAGCTGACCGATCTGCGTCTAGACTACTGCGTTGTGCCGGATCAACCGATTGTCGGCACAGTGTGGCGGCCATGTTTATTTTAATGACCCAGGGATTATTTAAATCCCTGCTTCTTTGCCTATGCTGGGTAAACTAGTTTACGTGGCTCTGTCGACGGAGCCAGGTAGTCTAGACATACCCTCATATATGATATGGCTTTTTTCTTACTACTGTAGTAATGTGTAAAAGCTGATGCCTGGCTTATGTATACAGGCAGTCCCCGGGTTACGTACAAGATAGGGACTGTAGGTTTGTTCTTAAGTTGAATTTGTATGTAAGTCGGAACTGGTACATATTGTAGGGGAAACTCTAGCCAAACATTTCTCCAGAGCTCAGTTTTATTCTCCCACACCTCACTTCCCTCAGGGTATGTCTACACTACCCCCCTAGTTCGAACTGGGGGGGCAATGTAGTCATACGGAGTTGCAAATGAAGCCCGGGATTTGAATTTCCCGGGCTTCATTTGCATAAAGCCGGCCGGCGCCATTCCACGAGGCGTACAGCTAGTTCGGATTAGGAAGCCATTCCACGAGGTGTACAGCTAGTTCGGATTAGGAAGCCTAATCCGAACTAGCTAGTCCGTGCTGCGTGTAACCGCGCAGCACGGGGTCCGAACTAGCCAGCATTTAAAAATGGCGCCGGCCGGCTTTATGCAAATGAAGCCCGGGAAATTCAAATCCCGGGCTTCATTTGCAACTCCGTATGACTACATTACCCCCCCTAGTTCGAACTAGGGGGGTAGTGTAGACATACCCTCAGTCCTTTATTCTCAAGCTGAGGTGTCTGCTGAGAAAAGCCGCTCCGCGTCTCCCTGGTCTGCTGGGGGGAAGCAGCTAGTGTGGGGTTGCCTCACCCCGTCTGTAAGTAGGGATCCGATGTAAGTTGGATCCATGTAACCCGGGGACTGCCTGTATATACTCACAGATTCAGCTGCAGTATTCAGGAGCCTTGTTTTGCTAGTTTGTACATGTGCTTATGTAAATTACATGTGCAATTGTGTACTATTCAGGTAATGCATATGCAACCTGGAAATGAAACTCTATCCCATGTGTAAGTAGGTTAAATGTGGTTCCTGGAAGAGTCTAGAACTATTTCTTGACTCTTTTGTGTAAGCTCTTAATAAAACATTTATCTTACTAGACTACAAATTTGTGGCTATGGTAGTCTACATAGTTTCACTTGAAAGATAGATAAAAATGATACAAAGTCAACAGAATTTTATAGCTTTTAGGACTTTTATACTGCTGAGTTGATACTGAGTCTAAAAAGCTAATTTTTGGCATAACCAGAGCTTGATTCATATAATCATCCATTAATTTGACTTCTAACAAAACTGTTTTTAAAGGAAAGATCCCTAACTTAGGGCTAGCTTATTCGACCTTGCTATATCAGCACAGCTGCACTTATGCAGCTGAGCTGCTCTAGTGTGTCTGGTGAAGATGTGTTATGCTGACTAGAGAACTCTCTCCTGTCACCATTATTGCTCCACTGAAACAAGAGGAAGAAGTTTTGTCAGAGGGAGAGCATCTCATGCTAGGTTGGCAGAGTATATGCTCCTCTTTAAATCAGTAAAACTTGTCACTCATGCGGTGGCTTTTTAAGTACATTTAAGTGTACATTAGCTTAAGCAGTAGTGTAAACAACCACTTATCAAAGTGGTACTGTCTGCACCTAAAACTTAGGTCATCTTAATTACATAGTTGCCAAAAATTTTAAATCCTGTCAGATGTAGTTAGCT